CATAGAAAGTAAGATATATATATATATATATATATATATATCATAACCTAGAGAAGTAAAAATAATTGGCATTACAAATTAATATTACAGAGAATAGAAGAAGAAACAGGACCAAGAAGAACAAGCATGATGTCAGTTCTGTTGGCTCGTACACTTCTTCGACCAGATGATGTTGATAAAGCAGAAGAGAGGTTTCATAAGGTATACAGTACTGGTACTCTTCCAGTCAGCATTGATTTTATGTATATAAATTCTGTGTTGTACTGTGTGTGAAATTTATAAACAGTATTTACCAAATGTGAAGTTACATGAATAATTTTATTTGCTTGAGTCTCAATATTTTCTTTTTTTAACTAAACTTTTAGCCTCTTTTAATTTAGTATACAAATAATTTTTGTGTGACAGTTAAATAATCAAATATTAGTAGAAAAGGGTCTTTTACCATTTCATGATCTGTACCTTTATAGCTTTTCTTATCCGCATTATACATAGAAACAAACTATAGTTAAAGAAAGCTAAACTTAGCCACTAGTCTTTTTTTGTAAACACACTCCTAAATTTTACCAAAGCTTTTTTCGTAAACTTAAATATACAAAAGATCCTTATTGTTGCTAGGAAACATCATAATAATATTAAACTTTCCCATCAGATAGAAGATGGGTGAAAGTTATTAAAAGAAAGAATAATTTGTCATGTAAAGTGATAATGACATATAAATCTACTTTTCTGCACCTTCATCAGATCTTAAAATACTATTTCACTAAAAAAGTTGGCCATTTCAAGAACTTTCAGTCATTGTAATTTGTTTCTCTGCACTGTTAATCACATAAAATCATTAACTTAAAGGTGATGAGATATGAATATATTAGTTTAATACCTTAGTGGATCTTCACTTTATATCCATCTCCATCTTTAAAAACATCTGCAACTAGAGGAGCACTCAGAAGAGTGTATACCTTTGCCATGTACAAGTCTGAGTGTCTGTCTTTACCAACCATACATACCATTTTTGGCAGGACAATGAGGAATAATATTTTACCTATGTCCACCAAGTTTAATCAAAAAATGGTCATTTTTGATTGAGTTATAGAGCAAAAATAGTGTGAAAATTCTGTCCCTATGTTAACAGATAGGAGTTTTTTATTTTCTTACACTTGCTCTGACCTTTGACCCCTGACCCTCAAAAAACTAGTCATTTCTAAGTTGGGTCATAGTCCACATGTATACCAACTTTGGTCCAAATCCGCTTGGCCATTTTCGAGAAAGGTTGCTGACAAACACATGCAGGGGTAAAAACAACCTCCATCCACCTTTGGTGACTGAGGTAATAATTAAAGTAAATACAACTGGAGATTACTCTTTTGTGGATTTAGTACATTATGACCATTTGGATTTTGAACTTTGAAATTGTAACTTAATTTTTTGCTTGTTCACATGAATTTAACAGTTATATTAGTTATTGTGTAATTTACACTATAAACATGTGCACAAGAAGCAACTTTTATAGTTACTGAACAATATTCATCCACATCTTTTTTTATATTCTCATTATTGTCAATCTTATCAAAATCTTTTACAAAACATTTGTGGTATATGTGCATGACAAAGCTGAGATCAGATTAAAATGACAGGAATACTTAGAAAGTTTGTAAGGGAGGCAATGCTGATCCCATAACACAATCATTCAGTGTACTTAAAATGTATTTTAAAGAAAAATTAATGTACTTAGACACTAAGTGTATCATGTATATCATGATCTATAGATTAAAGAAGACTTGATACTTTTGAGTTTGAATAAGCAATATAAACATTACCCATAGTACTAAAGTTTACTGTACTATATTGTAATTTGATAAAGTCATTAGTAGAATTGTTATGGGCTTTGTTAGCATAATAAGGTTCTAATATCACTGTTACAACCATACAATATTGAATGAACTGTTTAAATAAAAAAATAACTTTTAAGATGTATGAAGATAAAAACCAATTCTAGACACAACTCCATGTCATTAAAGTTTTACTTATGGAAAATAGCTTACATCGTAAGTGTAATTTGACTTTTATTTTATAAAAAAAGGGTTTTATATGAATTATGTATTACAGTATCATTTTATGATTATACAAATTTCAGTTCAAACCTTCAAGTTGTCAGCTTGTCATAATGTTTTTTTTCCACCAGACCATCTCACAGTTTTAAGTTGGTCTTTGTAATTTAGATATAATTAATGAAGTTATTTGAATAATTCATAGTTCTCTGGTCACCACATTTTCCAAAATAATTAATTACCAAAAAAAATCTTCCTATCAGTTGAAGTTCTTGTTTGTTCATTTTATCCTTTTTAAGGTGTCAACAGACGTGCCAGAACTGAGACATAAACTTGAGACTCATTTGAGTAATTTGACACTGTTCTTAGAACAACTTGAAGCAGAAAAGTTGTGGATCTTAGAAACTAAAAATACACTGGAGAAGTATCAGGAAGAGATTGCACCTCCTCCGTTGGAAACTGTAGTATGTTTGTTTGCAGTTTTCCCAGATAAATTATAAATATCACGTTAACTACCACAGTACCCACAGAGAAGTATAATTTCAGTACTAATAAGTACAACTAGAAGATAACTTAGTTTTGTATTTTTAATTGTGTGTTGATTATTAAGCTTTCTTTTTTTCTTTAGTTAAAAGAATGTTGGTCATTCTGTTTTGATTTTTGTCTTTTTCTTAATTTTTCTTATGTAATTTGATATGTAAAATGTTCGTACCCAATACAATTTTGCTTATTATGCCCAAGTTAGATGTAAGTGATTGTGATTGTATCCTCTTTGTGAAACCTATACATAATATAAAATGATAATTATTTGGAATTTCTTCTCACTAACTGAAAAAAACAAACACGAAGGTCCCTATATTTAAGTTTTAATAAATACTGTTGTAATGTGAGTAATAGTTGACTGACTGGGGCTAAAAAAAAAAGATTGCAAAACCTATATCAAGTTCCAAAAATTCCATTAGAGAAAGCTTCATGTATAAAAATCTCTCTCTATTTTATAATATCATTGAATTCACCTTTAGATGCAAAAGAAAGTAAACATATAATTGTAAAACCAAGAAACATTTCTTGAGGAAGAAAAAATAGTTTTGGCCTCCAAGAAGCTTTGTCTAATTATAAAAACTTGACAGTTATATATATATATATATGTGTGTGTGTATATAATACTGAAAGAGTATGGTGGTTTGCACAGATTAAAGAACTCGGTCTATAACATTTTTTTCTTTTAAAGTAGCTACATGTTTTGAAATTCCTCATTCAAAATATTTGATGCATACCCTACAGATCTTTTTTCTTCTTCATCCATGTGTTCATCTTTTTTCTTTTGTTTAATCCGGGATCCATCATCGATAGCAAAGTACAGCATAAACCAGTAGCTTATGTTTACAGATTCGAGGTAGACTTCTTGTTTTGTCAGTTTTCTCTACATTCAGTTGTAGTGACAAGACTTTACATCCACACCACCTTTGTCAGAACATGTTTTTTGTGATCTGTTCAGTTTAATGCCTGATACTTACCGTACTGAATCACATGTAATTCAGCATAAATTTACAATTTATAAAGAATGGCTGTCACTGTCTAGTAAACTGCCATCTGTAGATGTCTAAGAGTAGTTAAAACTAATGATCTTATAGGAGTGTGTAGTTCACTGTTGTCAGCTGTGCCCTATAGCAATGGAACATTTCTTGTGGTTCACCTAACACAAAGTGTGTTTTGTTCTCGAAGTCATGTTTTTTTTTTTATCTGTTAAACAGATCAAGACCAATATTCCCAATTTTTATATCAAATTCTGGGAAGCACTTAAAGAGATTCCTTCACCTCATACTGCTGCTCTTTCAGTGTACTGTACCCATTCAGTTGATATCATTCAGTCTCTCAGCTTAGCACTTTAAGCATGTGGTTGACTAGAATTTTGTTTATTAATATAATTCATTAAATTTGTGGGAAATGATGTGATTGTATTCTAAAGTACAGATGTATCAAAAAGTGCAGCTTAAACTGCAAAGAAACACATTTTAGTAGATTGTATTCAGAAAGTCCCAAAAATTTACTATCCATGTGTTTTTTTGAGTAGTTCATAGTGGCTGGTTTACAATTTAATTAATCATCTATTTCATTTTTTTGAAGCTCCAATTTATCCTAATAAAACGTTTGGTGGAATTGTATAATGTCATTAAAGCAAGATACTGAAATAACATATAACAATTTCAATATATTAATGTTATAATTTGTACTATTACCTATGTTGTGACTGATGTTTTGCACATCTACAAATATAAAGCAGTTATCCATATAACTGGTGTTTTGACATCACAAAATTGTTTTGAGATAGTACCTGAACTATTTTAGATGATATTTGATAGAGAAAAACTCAGGTGGAATACCCCTGAGGTTGAGTTTAAATGGATAAGCAATTGGATGAATGTTTCAAGTATGACAGCCATTTTAATTTTTCTGTGTGAACCTGATGCCAAATTCCAGTGATATAATACCATACATAACATTGGTACCTTTCCTGATAACTCGTGTTCAGTAGATACACTCGAATAATCACAACCTCATGAATCTAACAAAACAAATATCGTGCAAGGCAAGGGTACATTTCCTAGTTGTTTCCTCTAGTAAATATAATTTCTTTAAAGGATAAACTGGTAATTTTTTCATCAGTGTAGAAGTGAATAAATTGACTAAGACTAGTGTGTATAAACTATTAAATGTCATAACACTGGAAAAAAAGACACTTTCCCTTAAGGTGCATTTATATGCATGAATTAAACATATGAAGTTTTGTTAAGTTATATATGAGTTTTATAAAGTGAAACATTTAGTCATTAATTGATATCCAGTGTTCTAATTGGAACAGCTCTTAAACAAAGCTAGAGATAACCTTTTTTTTTTACTGTTTGCACTTGGATGTGCTAAAGTTTTCTAAGGTGTGTGCATTCCTTTGATAAGGATGTAAACTGAAGTGTATCAAACTAAGATGTATAGTTTTCTTATTTTTTACTTGATAAAGTAAATTATTTTAATCCACAGTTCACTTTCAGAAAACTGTAAAATCTACTTTTTTTAAACTTATCCTATCTCTTTATTTGAATTAAATACTACAACTTTTACTTTTGATCCAGGTTGATCCTGATATCATTCAGACTCATGCTGTAGCATTCAACCAGTTAGAAGAGAGCTATAGACAGTTGAAAAAAAACAGTCAGGCCATGCCTCCAGCTGTACGTGATGACCTGCAGACTGTCAGAGAAGAATGGGTTGCTGTACAAGAAATGATCAGACCTTTGGTAGTTGTGAATCTAGATCAAAATTTAAGTTCTAGTAGAAAAGCATCAGTTTCCTCTACATTCAGTGCCACAGGAAAACCACTTGTTTCAGCAGAAGGTAAATGTTTATGTTGTACATTTAATATTTCTGAGTTACATTCTGTGTATGCATCACAGGGCAACATTGTATTCCATATGTTTCATCTGATTGTGCATCTCTTACCATCAAAGAAACATTATCAAAATACATATGTTTGAAATTTCTTTTTGACGTGTTTTCAATAAAAATACCTTCAAAATAAACCACAATAACTAAGCCTATTTTCTATTTCATGTTCCATAAGGATGTTTTATTTTCATGCAGAAATACGTCAACTTCATCTAGTAAGGTAGAAACTTAAAATAATAACACACAATGATAAAATGGGTACATACTTGAAAACACTTAATTAAGAAACAATACTAAGGTAAAACTTGTATACACCTGGAAAAAAGTTAAGCACCCCCGTGTTTTTTTCAAGTGATTCAGATTCGATGCTCTTGTGACTGATTATAAATTACATTTCAATCTAAACGTGTTTATCAAATGAAATTATGCATTGTTGGGCACAAGAAAACAAGATTATCACCGTAAAATAACAATTTTTAATTACATATCAT